GGGGGGGGGGGGGGGGGGGGTGGGGACCTTTTCAGAATTTCCCTCCAAAGATCACAAGGTACAAGGGAAGGGGCATATAATAAGCTTGACCGATATGTGGCTTTTACAAAACAGAATACCTGGATCCCCCATATCATTTGATTTTCAGTTTCGTTTTGGCGAGACAAAGGGTTAGAGAGAGTAGTACACACGCCTTGAAACTTTTTGGATTGTTTTCTTGTTTTCTGTTGCCCGAATCATGAGCCTTTTACCCCAAAAATTGCAAAGTTCCGAAACTGAGGGGACTGAAAAGTTGACCCTTCATGATTATTTATTGCCCTTACTAAATATCCAAGTGCACAGTTATCCCTCTGTCTTTGAGTTCCCTGGGTCATTCGATCACTGATCACTAAGTGTTCCGTTAAATCAATTTTTACACATGTAATGTACATTTCGGCCTTAAAATGTAGGCGTTACGTGACGATCGGCACGCCAAGAGTTGTGCGAGTTAGAAAACGTTATCCTAACTGCCAGGGTTACACTAATTGCCGAGGCGAGACAGCTTGTGTACCCGAGTTCTCTCGCTCCCAGAGACAGGTTCGCGACCCTCATGTAAACGGTTAACTGGATTTTTCAAGGAAGTCGATGAAAAGTAACGGTAACTCGGAGGAGGGATTGTGTCGGGTACCCGAGACCCTATAAAAGGGCCTTGATTCTATTTCAAAACGTTAATGTCGGCCGGAGCTCATCTGTAAACCTGCGACGCGCAGAAAAACCCAAACTAAGCTATTGGCATAGTTGAGTTCTCTGCTGCAATCGCAACATCTGCACCTTTGTGAAAAGCTGAGGCTTAATTACTAGCCATAAATTTAGTAAACGCCGGGAGCTATTCTAATAGTTCCTGGATATTTTGGGGTGCCATTCATCAACGTAGTACATTCTGCGTGGTCGGAACATGATCTTTTTTTATTCCAAGACCAAATAAAGACGCCATCAAAAAGAGCTTCGCCTACAGAGGAATTAACTTCTATCGAACTTTCAAGATCTGCTTAAGCAGCCAACTTGTAAAACCAAAACATATGGTGAAAGAGCTTTTTTCTGTATACGCTCCGAAGATTTGGAACACTGTTCCTTTGGAAATACGTCGATCCAGTACAGTTTTATTATTTAAGAAAAATCTCAGGACCTTCCTTTTTAGTAAATTTATTAAGAGTAACTCTTTATCATATTATTATTATTATTATTTTTTGATTCTGTTTTGTTTGGCATTTTCCTAGTTTTTTAGCTTTTAAGTTTCTTACAGTAAAAGTGTAGTTTTTAGGGATAGTTTTGTAAAGCGCCTCGGGCAAATAATGGATGTGTGCGCTATGTAAATGAACTACTACCACTACTGTTATTATTATTATTATTATTATTATTATTATTATTATTATTATTATTATTATTATTATCCGGAATAGTCTGCTGCCACCCGTTACTATTTTCGTTTAGTGGCATTCTTTGATATATAAATATATAAACACCACAAGGTATACACCAAATTCATAAACGGTAGACGGTTCCGGAAGGCCCGGTACAAGAGAATGAAAACGAGACGGCGACGTTTACAGCTGCAGTTTTTCTAAAGGGACGTTGTGTCTAGATACCAGGCAACCGGGAAGTGTTTTCAAAACCTGAAATCCTTAAAGAATTTCCTAAAAATATATCACGTAATTCTTCTAAGAATAGAAAGGAGAACTTCTAACTTCTAACTGCCCGGTATATTCAAGGGTAAGCAGTTTAAAAATGGAGGGAATGAATGTTTTCTTAAGAACTGTTACACCCCTAAAAAGTTTAATTTAAGTTGCTATTGATATTCGATATTCATTTATATTTGACCAGCCCTGCTTTCCTTTATAAATCTGTAAAAAATCCAAAACATACTCCAAAGGTTATGAAGTGACCGAATTTAAGGATCAACCGCCTTTTTGTTGTCCCAGCCACTTGCAAATCTATAATTAGGATATTGATAGTAGTTACGGCAAAGACACCACAAAACAAAAAAACAAAACACTGAACTATAAATAAGCCTGGTTTTCACGAGCATAAGCATAACGGTAGTGAAGACGCACACAACGCAAGAATAAGCACAAGCACAAGCAGAACAAGAAAGCTTTTGTTCTTCTTGTTACTTACATGTACGGCAAAAGAGAATGCATAAGCATAAACATCTTCCGCCATCTTGTTTTATTGTATCGAGGAGGTATGGAACCTAAAATAAGGCAGTTTTCTATTCTGCGCATGTTTACGTGCTTATGCTTGTATTGATGGCGTTCTCATCACCATTGTGCTTATGCTTGTGCTTATGTACATGTCGTCGTGAAAACCAGGCTTAATAAAACACTTCATATAATTACTGATTCCAGGGAAACAGCTGAGTTGTTTTCCTTTCAAATTCGATGTTTTGCAAGTTTTCGTCTGGTTAAACATCGAGATTCTCGGGAAAACAAAATCAAAGGGCTTCTCCCTGGACTAGTGATTATGAATAATTGTATAACATGCACGGTTGCACTCATTGAAAGAACTTAAAATCGTATTTCTCAGGCCAAGGGAAGTCAATGGAAACTAGGTAACTGATCAGTTACAAACACAGGAAAAACCAGTGCATGATAGTACTTTTTCTCAAATGAACTGTCTAATAAAAATAAATTTTGGTTTGTTTCTAGAAGTTGCTGCGTGGTACGTTCAGCACGTGCCAAAAATGTAGGACAAGGCAAAATGCTGCTTGATATTCAGTTTGAAAAATATCATGGTATTTTTAGGAAATGGTATATGACATCTAAATCCTCATGAATAGACAACTTTAGCTTGGGCGGTTTGTTTCTCCATTGTAGACCACGTGATAATCTCTAGAGAATTTTTCTTTTATTATTTCTTAAAATTATTCCGCATTTATATACATGCCACTATTCAAAAATTTGAAAACAAGAATTCTGTGTATCATAACGTGGTCTGCAATGGAAGAACAAAACTCCCAGGCTAAAGAGGTCTATTCAAACGAAGACATCTTCAGTCCCATCAGGCAGCTGTGTCTGTTAAACTCGTCAAAATAAATCACGCCCCAAGAGTCGGTCACTTTCCCAGGCTCGTTTCATACGTTGCATTTCTGCCGTGTCGAATTCAATTCAACGAATTAAATTCGACAGAAATTCGACGTCTGAATCAGCTGCTGCATTTCTGCCGCACGTTCGACTGGTGTTGTCGCATTATTCGACAGAGATGCGACACCGATTCAAACGTCGAATTTCTGTCGCGTCGAATCTAACTCATACATTATATTAATGTATGAAGCATGCGTGAATTTGGTCCCGCCAAAGAAAGAGAAGAAACTTGGCCATTCTCGTCCCCAGTGCGACCTGAACATATTGCAACACATACTGCTGCATTGTCAGCCTTCCCGTTCTTGTTCCATTGGCGGACAATTTTTCGAAAAATTGAAGTCCCTCGTCGCTCAGTATCTTCGTCCGCCATATTGAATACTCTACGTTTAAAACTTCTTCCGCTGACCGACATACCCGACAGCATTAATTCTGAATTAAGTGCGACACAAGTGCGACGTCTGAATCGAGAGTCGCATTTTTGCCGCGCTTAACTGAATTGAATTCGACAAGGCAGAAATGCGACGTATGAACCAGGCCTCATTTACCTAAATCTTCCTTGCCGTTGTTAGTGCGTGATGATTCCATACTTTATGATAAAGCATGAATTGTAAAATGCTTGGATGCAAGTGACTGAAGCTTAGGAAGCTCGAAAAGCCTGGTAACTAGGTTCTTCGTGACGTCATAGCCAAAATCATCGAAAATAACCACCGAGCCATCACGTGCGCTTGAACGTAAACAGGTTGTGGTGCCATCTGCGCCGTTCATGTATTCAAAACGAAGACATAAATAGTCGGGTGAGTCAGCAGCGTCCGTTAAAGTGGGGAATACAAGTAGCGCATAAAAGTCAGTTGCCTGAATCTTCGTTGCTACTGTCAGGAAAGCAGGAAACCTCTTCTAAAGGCTACCATGGCTAGTTTGGACCGCCCGCTACCTATGGCTTGTTGGGAAGAAGAAACCGACAGGGATTACAGCCTTGTTTACAATTTCATGTCATCTCTTTTAAACGCAGAGTTGATGGCTATGAGGCAAAGTCTTTACGAAAAAGGTCTTCAACTGAAGCAGTCTCACTCTTGCCTGTGCCACGTGCCAGCCGAGAAAACGTTGTGGGATAAAGAGGGAGCGAAAGACGAAATTCACTCCCACAAGGTCGTGTTTGACTTCGCGGCAGTTCACCGTGAACGGGCTTTGAACGCGGGAAAGCTAAACAAAGACACAGGGAGGCGATGGCGAAGGAAGAATTTTAGCAAGAAAAAGAGGAATTGAAAGAGCTTTATTGATGATAATGACAGAAGACGATCAGCTTGAGAAGAAATTTTTATTGTTCATATAGACTGCTTTGATCTAGTTTACTGTGAGCGGGCTTCGAAAGCTAAACAAAGACAAGGGCACAAGTTAAGCAAGAAAAATAATGGATTTTAACAACTTCATCGGTGATAAAAATAATACGGTTGGCTTGAGAAGAAATTTGTATTGCACATATAAACTCCCTTGATCTACCAAAGAACAAAAATTGGCCGATCTGAGCGTTAAACCGTGTTATTATTGTAGAATCTAAAACTACTTGATTTTCTTAAGTTAAATAAATCCTACAATCAATAACCTTGCCTTAAGACTGTAAACTGCAAAAGCTTTGTTGATATCATGTGTAAAATAACAAAGATCAAGCGAATTTGTAATTACAAGGAACTAATTGCTTTTGAACCGGTTTAGAAAGTCACGAGATATTAGTAATATGTTGTTGTTATTGATTTTCGTTGCAATAGATGCCCGTTTTAATTCATGTAAGCAGTCGTTATGAAATTTGTAAATTTGTAAAAAGCTGAAGCGAGCAAAAAAGTTCGGGAATTAAATTCATAGATTGTTAAATGTATGTATCTCCCTTTTGTCATTGTGTTGGTTTTTTACCGGGGTGGGGAGCAAATTTGCAAGTCGAACCAGAAGATTGCATCATAAAATAGACAGATCTATGTGTCTTGGCGTGATATCCACAGGGGAAGCAACCAATTTGAAATTTTACAAAATGTTTGCTGTTATATAAAAATAACAAGGACACTTCATGACCTATTTTGCTTTCGAAGTACCCTCAACGGTTCTTCAAGACTTCTTTTACAGGGCAATATTTATATTCCAAGACCAAATTTTAAAATAGAAACTGCGGTGTAAATACAAACACCTGTTGGGCGAAGCAATCAACCATGTGACCGAATTCATCACGACACAACTATTTTAAATCTTCACGGGGTTCCGCTTCTGTAGGCGCTATTTCAATGTTTTTGCTTTCCAGAAACAAAAAAAATTGTTATCCAGCAGTACGTGGAACGGGATTCAAATAACAATTTGAGATCAAAACTTATTGTTTTCAAACACTAATTGAAGGGAAAAGAACAGTTTATTTGTTGCCATTTCCAGAACTTGGGTTTTACACCTGCCCTAAACGAGGTGACTAGACTTCACTTGTCTGAACTAGTGTCTGAGCGTTTTAGACCCGGTGTAAAGAAATTTGGTAGATAACGAAAACAAAGAAACAAATTCTCAACTAAGTAATGATAAGATGACTAATACAAAATAATCTTATCAACATACAAAGTCAAAATCCTGAGTCTATTTAGCACCTTATATTTCGTTGGACTGCAAAAAAAAAACTGGCAAACACACTGCCAAGGAAAATTTGTTGGCTTGATTCGACGCGGCGTTCGTACTAAGACCGGACGCTGCAAAATTACCGTTTATGTTATCCATTTAAACAAAAGAAGACGAAATCAAATGCTAGTTGTCTCTTTCTTTCCATCATTTTCAGAGCTGGTCGCCAAAACATCATTTGAACACCATTTGAACATGCACAATGTTATAATAATTGCGGACCATCGTAACGTGAGCCTACACCCCTGGGCCGTTGACCAGCGGCCGGGAAACGAGCGAACCTCGAAAGTTCTGATTTTTATTCCTTAAACAAAACGTGTCAATTCAGTGGAGGTTTTCTTCTATTTTCAGAGTAAAAATTCGTAAATTTAAAGCTCTTATGTAGTTTTCTGAAATGACTTCACAGTTGGTACAGAGACCATGGACCTTCCGCCCGAATTTTTCCGGGTTTAGAGGTAAATTTTTCAGTAAGAAGTGGGCTATAGACAGAAACGTAACTACAAATACTGTTTACAAAGATTACTGGATAAAGCTTGCCATCCCGAATTTCGAACTGTTACAAGTCTTTTTGGGCTTGGTACACAGGTAGAATATATTTATTTATACATAGAGGGCAAAATGAGTTAATCTTCGTTGGTTGAGATAGAGGGCATTCTTTCTACCCTTCTACCCTTCTATCGAGGGTAGATGTAAAACTACTTGAAAATGATTGGTTCTCATGTCACTTGGGGACGATGAACAAAATTGACTTCCTTTGAATTGTTTTGTTTTTTAATTTGTCTTTTATTGTTTGTTTTCTCTCGTTTCGAGAGGGTTGAGAAAAATTTAACGAAGACCGAAAAGGAAATAATCGAGGATCAGTAAATTAAAAAAAAAAAAAGCACTGGAAGAGTGTTTTTGCTTCGAGTTATTTTTGTTGGAGAGCGCGTTCGGGTTTTTCAAATCCCCTACGGTTAATAATATTATTCCATCTCGACGAACTCAAGACAAAATAGTGGGCCTGTGAATCTTGCTTGGGCCTCTTTGACCTTGCTTGGGGGCTTTTCTCGAACCCTCAGGGGCTTCTCGTTCCCTCATTAAAGATGTAGAAACAGATTCACCGGCTTGGTTTATTCTCTGTGCGTGCAAGAGACGGGAGTATAGCGGAGGATAATTATTACTTGGTAATTGAAGACGTTTGTACAGGGATTAAAGAAGGGATGCCATCGGAATATACCGCGAACAGCTTGTATAAAAATAGTTTATATGCTATTCTTGTCACTGCCGTGGAAAGTTTTATCATTGAATAATAAGTATAAAAAGAGAACCAGAAAAACCTGTTTTCGATGGGTTTGCTTTGTATGTAGGTTTACTGGAGTTTACGCACAGTAACCAAGCGGACAGTCAGACCACATAACATGACCTTTCATCGAACGCAATCCATTAAATTGTGTTCGAGTTTTAGTTCGGTTGCCTAAAACTCAATCGATCGAATTGAGTTTTCGATTTCCGAATTCAATTTACTAGTCCATCTTCGACACAATTTACAGGTGTCGTTTTGTTGAAGCCTTCTTTCTCTGGGTAGAAAAATGCTCTTTCACCGTGTCAGTAACCTCACGAGTGAGATCATAGAAAATTTGCAACTTTTGTCCCGGATATAATTTGGTATAAATTTTAAGAGTGGTGTATTTTCCCAGTGCAGTCAAACCCTCGAGTGTATACAGCGAAAGGAGGATAGTACACGGCCGAACGAAGTTATGAATTTTTTTTCTTTTTTTTTTTTCCCGAGTGCAAAAAGCTACATTTTATGAACGAGCGCAGCGAGTGAGTAAAATATTGTGTTTAAAACGACAAAATAAAATTTATATCTTCTTCAGGCGAGACGCTGCGCGGGACGAGCATGGAGAGGAGGTTAAGGTGCCCAGAAACGCTCCTTTCAATTAACCTGCATTCGCTTCTCAAAACAACTTCGTGAAGTGCGCGCGTGACGTGGGAGAATCGTAAATCTGCGCGACATGAGTGTTTTTATCTTGCGTACTTTTTTCGTGACCATAAGTCCTGGATTTTTCTTTGGCATTGTTTTGTATTGTTATGACTTCCTACTTTCATTACCGAAAATCCCCTGCTATCAACATGTGCTTTCAACGCGCACGGTTTCATTTTCACAACTGATCACACTGATAAAAACAATTCTGTCAAAATGAACAGCTTTCAAACGTCTAACCACTGTTTTAATTTTTTGTTTTTTTTGGTGAAAATTTCTTTTGTGTAAATATTATTACTAATGCGGAAAACCGTCACGTAGATACTCTCTGTGAAACCGAATAAATGAGGCCCATCGGCGCCAAAAACAGAATATTGATTAGACTCATTAAAAGTCAAGAAAATTGATTCATTTCAGAAACAATAACCTTTGAAACCTGAGGCACGCACGTCCATCACTGAAATCGAAAATTCAAACCAATATGTTTTTGGCACGCTTGCATCATTATTGCCCACAAAGCTAAGCTAAGATTATCCGTGCTTTATTCTTTTGCTGCTCGGAACAGTGAAAAGATAAACCGGTCCGTCAACATTGCTGAGAAGTTGTCAACATACGAGAGCGTGTATTGCAATTTGGGACGCCAGACTTGAGACCGTTCAGCCGAGCAAGCTCAGGTAGCAAAACTCGAGAATTGTCTCCGAAAATATTTGGGCTGGGCCAGACGAACTGAGCTAAGGCAAAAGGAAAAGCTTTTTGATAACCTTACTCAGCCGAAGGTGAAAGAGATATTGACAATTATTTCGTCATCACAAGAGATCCAATTAGGACCCGAACTGTTTTCGGTTTTATAGGTTAAGGGAAGACCTAAACAAGAGATCAAGAGCAAAGTGAAATCACCGCTTTGTCCCGAAATGTCGATTCTAGACAGACCAACAGCTATGCTGAACTGGGAGAAGGAAGCGGTACAAGATCTCGACTGCGTTTACCAATCTAAGTCGATTCCTGACCGTGGGGATGTAGATGCAGTTTGGCAAAGCATGTACGAGAAAGGACTGAAGAGGAAAGTAAGTCAATATTCACTTCCTCCTCAAACCACGGAAGTCAATGGAAATCTGCTCGATCCGAGCTGTGTTCAACAGGAGTCGGGAAAGGAGGAAAATAAACCGAAAGATTTGGCCACTGTTCATCTGGAAAGAGCGCGAAATTTAGGAAAACTAGGAATGGACGAAGGAAGACGGTGGAGGAAACGTGCATACTCAAACAGCTCTTCTGGCGAACAAAATCACTGTCAGGCGACTCATAATCTAGGGAAAAGTATATAAGATGGCTGTTAAGTTTTGAATAGAATATTTGGTGGCTTCGATCGGATCACGAACGCTTCTGTTTACCTTTAATATAATCACAACTGTAATCAGAAAACATTGATATTGATGTTGTGTGTGCGGGTCAATGTGGGAGAAAATATGTCAAACGGATTTTGCAAAGTAGCATTTTTCTGTGTATTTTCCAGTTGAATGAAGGTAATTCAGGTGTAAACGAGTTGTTTTAGGTAATAGCCGTTCTTTAAAAATTTAGAACTGATTGTGGATGGCACAACTCTGGCTGTCACGTACAACCTAAAATGTTTGGTTTTGATTGGTTCATCGCGGAACTAAAAAACAGCAAGCCTGATTCATCCAATTGTACGCTAATTGTTTCCGTCCATTTATAATTTATGTTTGTCGGTGTAGGTGATGAGCTGCACGAAAATAAAAGCAACGCTGTCTACTGATCAGTACAACTTATGTTAATCTTAAGACTCAACTTGTTTTGATAGCACAAGAGTTCGATTTGTTTTGACCGCATAAACCATACGCGTTTTGGCGTTTTATAGATCAAGCACGCAAATGTATAATACTTTTGAAGAAGTAGTAATGTTTATCTGTTATGATGGAATAAAATAAAATTAACATAAAAAGCTGTTGTATTCGTGTCAATATCATTAGTTTAACATAGCGTGAGTCCAGTGATATTATTATTATATTTTTTTTTTTGCTGGTATTACTAAACATTTTAAAGTTTTAGACTATACGTTCGATGCAATCTTTGACTTCTATCCAATCGTTCCACTTTTTAAACCTTAACTGAATTTTATACTTTGAACTCGAAGCGTTTTCCCGTTTTTATTTTTCATAATCTGTGCAAACAATTTACACGCTCGAATTATCTGGGTCAAGAGGCAGCTGTGCCCTGCAAATAAAATGAACCTGCAGAACAACATGTCAGCGGATGGCCGCTGAAATAAACAACAAAATGACGCGAGAAATTGTATAATGATTAGAAGGCCGCGCCGAGCTGAGGGACAAAATATCAAACGGGGACACTATAAAGTATATTACAGTGACAGAATCGACTGAAATATTCGTATTAGTTGGTAAAATTAGTTAAAATGCTAAAATATTTAAAATGCATAGATATGTACAGAATAAAATACCATAAAGAACAAAAACAGAAAAAAAAAAGGTTAAGGGAAAGTCAAACAGCTAAAAGCGGACCGAACGAGAAACATGTAAATTTTCGTTTGCATAACTTTCGCCCGCTTGGCTTGGCTGACGCAACAGTATGCCCGTGGATCTCCGAGGATGAAGCTGGGAGTGGGCGCAGAAGGCGTGAACTGAACGGCGAGCAAGTTTTAAACTTTGTCGCTGAAAAAAATCTTACAGAAAACCAGTTTTTTTTCTGGACACACCATCTTGATTCATATTATATCCAACTAGGTCAATCAGACTGATCTTGTGGGTGGCTACTGTTGCTATGAGTTTGATTATTATTATTAT